ACGTCCATTATGAGCACTGGCATGCTTCTGCGAGCACTGTGGATTTTTTAATTTTGCTAGGAAGGCAAAGCCCTGAAAAGTCTCAGCAAAACCACTAGCCTTTTCTTTTCTTTGGAGTACAACCTGCAAAAACATGCAGAATTCAAAGGATTTTTTTTTTTCCTGTGTCTATGTAGAGCCCAGGTTGTCTTCTGCAGGACTGTCTCACCAGAAGACAGTCCAGGTGAATCACAAAGCTTTTGTCCACTGAGCAGCTCTTAGCAAAATAAATGCTTTGAACTGCTGATGACACCCAATGCTTATGGAGGAGATGTGGTATACAGTGTTGTCAGTAATGAGGAGGGGGACGGTAGTGATTGGCTGATGTCAACTCATTGTAATGTTTTGTGTTAAAGTGTTTGAGACTGGGAAAGAGAAGCAGTAGGCTAAGGCAATGTATTGTATTGGGTTTTTTAATTTTGTTTTTGTTTGTTTTTGGTGGGGTTTGTTTTGGTTTTGGGTTTTCATTTGGGTTATTTTTTTTTAAAGTAAAACAAATAAATTATCCTTATTTTGAGTAGTTTGTGGATAAACCCACATTTGATTTTCCTGTTGTACCCAATACAGAAGTGAACCTATCAAAGTTGCTTTGTGCAGACGCTCTAACTTAGCATAACCCTTGTGAAAGATTTCCCTATATATATCGCTGATTTCAAGCGTTCTCTTTCAGTCTGCAGGGGTTTGGCACTGTATGCAAGTTGCCCCTTTGCTGTTTCTGCTGGGCATCCGAAGCCTGCACAAGTGCCCGCTTCTAAAGCGTTTTTCTTAAAAAAAACAAAAGCAATGATTGTGCTCTCTCTAGTGGCAGAAGGCAAAATTGTTGTATGTCACTTTCTAGATCGTGTGTGAGAGCACAAAACCTCCCGATTTAAAGACGTTATTTAAGTGCAGTGCAAATATTTACTCCATTTAGCCATAGCTGGAAGGAAAAAAAAAAATTATTCTGCACCTGTCAAATATATGTCAAGTCTGCCTGTTCTTACGACTGACTGTCCTGGGCATGTCTTACTGGAACAATAGAGGAGGAATGCCCTTTTTTTCTCCCTCTTTTTTCCTCTTTAAATAACTTCCCTCCCCACCCCCTGGATATTTTGATTCACAGTATAAGATCCTGCATTTTGGTGTGTGATCCATGTCATGACAGGTTTGGAAGAATGTTTGTTAATCTTACCAAATGCTTACAAACACCCAAGGGGTGGTTGACTAATTAACATCAAGTAAGGGGAGCCCCTATAGTGTTGAACTGCTGGTCTGGCTGCCCTTAGGGATCCTTGCTTACCCTCTTAGTGCCTGATGAAAAGCATCCCCAACCTTGTCTTCCCAAGGGCCGTGAAAGGTGAGATAAGAAACTAGGGAGCAGGCATGAGAAATGCGTGTGCTCTCCCAGCCCACAGGAGAGTCCCTGGGGTCTTTTTGCTTGCAGAGAGTAGCCAAGGGAAGAAAAGGATGGAGACATTCATAGGCTGCTTGTCCTGCTGCTGAGGTAGCTCCTAACTTGTGATTTAGTAGTGAAATAATGACGTGCAATAATTTAGAATGATCTCTCTTTCTTCTAGCCATAAATCTCTGTTCTTGGGAAGGAGAGGCAAGATGTCTTGCTTTCTACTTGCTGGATTCTGTCCATGTTTGGGTGGCTTGAATACAGGAGACAACTGTTGCTGCAAATGCACAACTCTTCTAGTCTCCTTCTACCATCATTTCCGTCTGTGCCAGTAGCAACTCTGTATAAATCCTGCAATACTTATGCATACAGAGAATTGAAATGGTCCTAGGAAGCACCTCTAGGATAAAGACTAGGAAAAACTTCTGGCAGACATGCCAAATAGTTTTTCTCTGTGTCAGTTCTACTGCAATGAGACTTCTTTTTCCTTTGAAAGGGATGCATAAACATTTTTAACTGTGTTGCTGAGTTAACCAGTCAAGATGAATGCTGCAGAATTTGTAACGCTAGCATCACTGGAGAGGAGTCACTACATCATAGGCTTTTTAAATACAGTTTGCAAGTACGAATTCAGTTCTGCAGTTTTTAAGCTGCTTCAAAAAGCAAAACTGGGTACACAGATTCAAGCTCACACCTGCTTTCATACCTGCTGACTTGTACCAGCGACATGAGACAAGATGTGTCTCATCTACTAGGCAACAAAGCCTTTATTTTTTTTTTAAGTGACTAAATAGTCCAATACTTTTGAAGTTCTCAGCACTGCAGGAAAATTATGGCACTTACTTAAGGGTTTGAATATGTAATCAAGCATCTAATTTTAAACCTGCACACTCAATAATATTGGACTTTGCTACAAAGTTATTTCCTTTTTATGGTATCTGCCAGCTGCTGAAGTATGCATTAGTACATTTGACATATTAATGCATTCTAGTAATGGAGGTACCTGATCAAGCAGCAGCCAAATGACCACAAAATAGATGTCCGAGGTGAAATCAGAGACTGCAATAAACAAGGGAAAAAAACACTTGCATTTATCATGTACTGACGAGTGAAGTCCATGTCTCCCATCTGACTTGAAAAACTGGACCCAGTTGGTGGAGCCCTCATAGTCTTAGGACCCAGCATCCCCTCTCATCAACTCCCACATGCATTATTTTCTTCATTCTTCTTGATGGTTTTCCTCCCTTTCTCAGAGTCATTTTTGACAGGATTGTAGTAGTATGTTCCTGTAATTCTAAATAAGCATATTCTGACTTGCTCATAAATTAAAATCAAATACTTAGCTCTTACTGACACACTGTAGCATACCTGGTTATAACGAGAACAGGCCTTTCCCAGTTACTGAGAGGAGCTTTCTCCCTTGTCTTTCAGCTGGTCTGAAGCAGTGAAGGTAGCTGTGTACTGTCTGTGCACACTGAATTACTGTGGGCACTCCCCAGGTATTGCAGTTGCTGGTCTTTGCTTTACGGTATCGCATCCCTATCACTCACTTGCCAGATTCTGTACACTAGATGCTTATTGAGATGGCATTTGAATATAGTCCAGTTATTCCCAGTGG